GGACCATGGACACAGAGGTAGAACACTATTATTGCACATTACTGGAAATAAATTATCATGTAATTTTATGATTTTTGTATGATATTTTGGGGCTTTAAATGTACAGCTGCTGTGCTTAAGTTTTGGGCACTGAGATTATCGTGCCTTATGCAAAGAAATGTCCTGTGAAGCCTGTGAGAGGAATTTGTACCACCTATAAAATGTTAAACCATATTGTCAAAGAGGTACCATGAACGCTGTGAATAATATGCTGTTTAGTCCAACCCTATAGACAGTCTAGATCCACCAACAGAAGTGCCATTGTTCCTCAGCTCTAGATCTCAAATGGGGCTCAGGCAAAACAGAGCTAGACCCCCCATATTTCATTTCTCCCTTGCTGATAGCATTTATCAGCAGTGTCCTGATAAAAACAAAATATGCAACTTAAGCCCAAGCAGTGCTAAGCCACCGAGTTGGACAGGATTACCTGGAGGCTAGCTTGGACAGGCATCAGATTGTACTGTCATAAAGGGCCATTAGGCTTCTTGGCAAACTGTACCTCAAGCCCAAGATGACAGAGCTCTTCAAGACAGACAGGGGGATAATATGAAACTTAAATTCTTCATGACAGACATCTCATTCAATGGGACCTCCAGAAAAATTTATCTGTACAGCAAAACAAACATAAAAAGAGCCTTTCATTTTTCCCTTTTACATTAATTTCATGACTGCAAGACTTAAAGTTTCTCCATGAAATAATCAATATCCACTGTCAGTGGGTAACAGAACAAAATATATTTACTCAAGTACTGTAGAATTTTTAGATATGTGTGCTTCCCTGGAGTATTACAATTTTCCAATGCATCATACTTAAATTTCATTACAGTTCAGAGGCAAATAATGCAATTTTGAGTGCACTTTATTTATCTGATAACTTCCCAGCAGTATGTAAAGTACTTAAAGTTATCAGTAGATAAAGTAGTTAACATAAGCTCCATCTTTACCAGCTGCAACATTATGGTGATGAACACAATAGTGGATCAATAATTAGAAAGGCACCATTCTGCATAATGAGCACTTGGTACTTATGTTACTTCTACTTATGTTAGGTATATGTTGATGGTGTACTTTTAAATTGTTGAATGCAGGACTTTTACTGCTTACAGAGCATTTTTACACTATATTTCTACTTTTACTCAAGTAAAGGACCTGTGTGCATCTTCATCCACTGCACTGTTATCCACCGGATGTAAGTATTTGTGTGAAAATTGAGACAGAGTTTCCACACAACACACAATGGATTAGACCTACTGACTGGCTGGGATTAAATTTAATCCATGATCTTGACAGACATATCCTGGAAGCATATCACTCTCTCTGCAGATTTCTGAGGAACAAAGCTTACACGGTTTTTTTCTTAGATTTGCCTCATTAATTGGTTACATAAGTCCCCTTAATCCATGATGATCACATTCTTGTATGTCTTTTGGCATTTCTTTAAACTCATGTATCCCATTCCCTTTTTGCATTAATACTTTGCATGTCTGACAACAAAATTGAACTCAAAGTCAATTAAACTTTCCGGCATCTCAGTATTGAGTGCCATCATAGGAAACTCCCATTTTGAGGCAAGAAAAAAAATGTATATCTGCAAGGAGGGGGGTGTCCAAAGACAAAATGTCCAGCATGCATGAACACAGCATACAACCAGCTGTCCTCACAAGCAGTGTCCCTTTCTCTGACAGGAGGAAAAAGAGGTCTTGTCTGTTATCTTTGGAAGGTGATCTGGATGACTCTCCAATTTCCACCCATTTCCACCCATCTACCTCTCACTGTGCACTGCCTGAAGGCCATATCCTGAGCTAGGCCTGTGATAAAGAGCCAGGCAGTAGTGGTTGGGTGGGTGTCAGACTAGCCGGGCAGGCTTCAGCTGGAGTCTTCCTCTGTCTCCACTGCCTGTCTCTTTCAGTGTACTTAGAGCGGCTGCTGACCTGTCCTTTCCCAGAGGGCTTTGTAAAAGGACAGAAATGTGATGCTACTACTACACAAATGCAAGATGTGGTGGAGTCTGTCTGTGGTAGCTATGCTGTATCTCCCTTGTTGTATCTCCACCACCCCCTCCACCTCCTCCTATTTTTCCTGAGCAGAGAGACTTCAGGCGCCAGGCATGGTGTAACTGCAGTCTCAGGTATGCTGGGCGGCGTTGCAGCAACTTCCCAGGGCTTCACTTGCACCCGAGACTAAGTGACGCAGGCACCAGAGTCAGCTTCTATACCTCAGGGAAGGCAGCTCAAAGCAAGACAGTCCATCATTCATAATCAAGTTCTTCATAACTGAAGACATGAAAAATTGCCTCTCCTGCTGTTATTTAAGCTCATAGCCTAATTAACTTTGATCTTACACAACACCTCAATGCTATAGTCTTTTTAACAGTTTAATTGTGTTCTCTACCATTTGGGAGAGCACATTTAAAGTTGTGATGTCATGTTGAAATATTTGTTGCTATATAGGCTAACCAGACTAATCAGCTCACTTTCTATCCCCAGAAACTCCCCAGGGTTGTCAGGTTTGCTCGGCCGCTCTGCCTCCCTCACCTTTCCTACTGTCTCTTGCCCCATTAACACTAATCACGTTCACCTGTTCCTCACTCCCTTATCACCAGCTGCACTTGATTAGGTCACTCACTATATTACCTGGTTTCACTCCTCAGTCACTTGCCAGTTCGTTCTAGTCTCTAGGCCTTTTTTTTTCCTCCGTCTTTCGTTTTTTGTATATTATTATCCCCTAGCCAGCTACTGTTTTGTGTTCCCCCCCCATGGACTGTTCCCCCAGACCCTGGCTCCACTCTCTCCTCCCAGGCAGGTCAATGCTCAGTCGCCTATCTGTTCCACTATTGCCTTCATCTCTCTGTCTCTACCTTCAGTAGGCACCATCACCACCGACCAGCCCAGGAGTGACCCAGCCTACGCAGCTCGGCCCAGCTCTCCTTCTCCTCACCTCCTGCTGTTGGTCAAACACCCGGCTACTACTCATCGACAGGACTACGCACTATTTCCCTCTGTG